CAGCCCATATGCACAGCATATTCTGCACCACAAAGTTGAAGAGATGGGTTTTTTTCTTCCTCTTTAGCAATTCAGATTCCAAGTCAGGTGAACAATTTTATGTGGGATTCCAGATAATATTTCCTCTTTGTCATAGAGGAGATAGGTTTATCTTTATGTATCTGGCTTAAATTAAGCTTCTGTAGCTTGATCCCCACAGATATTTCTTGCTGAAGAGAATGAAGTTAAGTAATAGGGCAGCTTTCCTGCTTTCACGTACTGCCTCTCCTTCTGGGGAAACTGGCACTGAAGTTTGGGAGTGTTTCTGTTCCCAGCTTGTTGTAATATGACCATACATATAACATTTAACCACTTCATTTTATTTTATTTTTTCTCCCCAGTCAAAACATAGCTAATATTGAGAGAGTCTGGAGATTTTTACTTAAGAATTTTTATATGTGCTTAAGCAACAGATCCCTGTAGCCCAGTATTTTGCCTCAGATGAGTATATTTGGAGTAATATAAGAACACAGAAAATGCACATTAATGCTGACTTACAGGTAGTTTGCCTCCACCGTTTTCTTGGATCAGGGGCTACCTCAGAGCAGGGACTTCCTGACCATCTTTCTAACAAAGCCCCTGATGCATTCTCTGTCTTCCTCCTTTCCCCAATAACTTGTAATGGACTTTTGCATTCACACAGGCTTTCAGCATCTGCCCTGTCTTGCAGTGTGTCATCCCACATAGTAACTACAAACATAGAAGCACTTTGTTTTGGACATGCTGCTTCGTGTTCACCATCTCTTCGTTTGGAAGGGGCCCAGGAGCTTAACCTGACTTCTTAGCTTTGTTTTTATAGGCTCTGATACCTTGCATCTCAGCTTCTGTCTTAAACTATTTGTTTCCTCTTTAGAATCTCTTTTCTATCTCTGATCATCCTAGTTATCCCTGTCACTACCTTCTCTGGATTTGGAATATCCTTTTTGATTTGAAGTGAGAAGATACAAGCAGCACACAGTGTCCTGGGTGTGGACACACCATGCACTCAGTGGTACATCTTATTTTTGCACTCTGATTTTTTAGTTAAAGCAAACTGATTTTGCACATTCTGGTAAGTTGTACATATCTTCCAATAGCTGGTGTTTAAAGAGTTATTGCTAGAAAGTGCTGTGAATTAAAAGAGGCTAGATTCTTGTTGGCAGGAGTTGAAAGTGAATCGTGATGCTACCAGACCTGTAATGTTCTCAACAGCCAGAAATGAAACCCTGTGCTTAAAAGGCTTTCTGCCCCTTCTGTAGTGAATGAATTGCAGGCACTGCATTCAGCCCTCATCATTCTGGCCTTCAGCTGAAGAAGGGTTAAGTATTAAATGGAAAACATGCAGCACAGGACCAGTGTGATTCAGCACGTGGTTGTAGTCTGATTCTAAAGCTGAGTCTCAGCATGGTCTTTGGGGAACTGTGGCTTGATGGCTGCCTGCAGTCAGTGTTTCAAGCTGAGATGCTCAATCCTCAGTGAATGTCAAAGATCTCTGGGACTTGGGGCATTAACCATGGTGCCACAGGATTAGGCTTGTGGGTAACTGCAGCTGGTTTGCTTACACACCCAGTGTGTCTTTCAATGGTATAAAACCACTTGCTTCCTCTCCAGAATGCTCTCTTCTGTACCAGACAAGCTTAATCCAAATGAGTTTGGATTGCTTGTAAGCTGAGGTTGCCTGCATGGACAAGCTTGGATCACAGGAGCAAGTTAGGATGTCAGAGAGCTGGGTGAAACTGCAAACCTGGCTGTGCTTTTCTCAGTAAAAGTTTATAGTATTAAAATGGATCAAGTTGTGTCTAAGTATTGATGCAATATTAATATCCAACAAATGGCAATCACTGTCTCCACACTTATTTCTTATTTCTTATTTCTGTTTTATAGCTGA